ACGACTTTAAAATCATAATATACAGTTGTAGATTGTTGAAATAAACATTTTTGCTTCAGTAATGTATTACAAATTATTGACTGTTAAAGAGTTATCGAAAAAAGACTTTTGGCCCCTTTTGGCCCCTAATTTGAGGCCCAAGCCCCTTTTTCCTGATTTCATCTTGAAGCATTTAGGATTTTAAACACTTTGTGTTCGATAACTATTCAGAGATTCTTTTTCGTTTTCGAGTTATTTGTAAAAGAAATATTTAGGGGCCAACCCTTCAACTCCCTAATGGGGACTTTGAGTGAAAAATGAAAGGTTGCATATTGTTCAGAACATGATTTTGAACATCTTTTGTTCAATATTACTTGTCAAAATATTTCTCACTTTCGAGATATAAAGCGTCAAAGATTTAGCATTCTGGCCCCTTTTGGCCCCTAATTGTGTATTATATGACATTAAAATCATAATTATTAGTGGTAGATTGTTGAGATAAACATTTTTGCTTCAGTAATGTATAACAAAATATTGATTGTTAAAGAGTTATCGAAAAAAGACTTTAAGCCCTTTTTGGCCCCTTATTTGAGTGCTCAGCCCCTTTTTCTTGATTTCATCTTGAAGCTCTTAGGATTTTAAACACTTTGTGATCAATAACTATTCAGAGATTCTTTTTCGTTTTCGAGTTATTTGTAAAAGAAATATTTAGGGGCCAACCCTTCAACTCCCTAATGGGGACATTGACCGAAAAATGAAAGGTTGCATATTGTTCAGAACATGATTTTGAACATCTTTTGTTCAATATTACTTGTCAAAATATTTCTCACTTTCGAGCTATAAAGCGTCAAAGATTTAGCATTCTGGCCCCTTGTGGCCCCTAATCATGCATTATACGACATTAAAATCATAATATACAGTGGTAGATTGTTTAGATAAACATTTTTGCTTCAGTAATGTATAACAAAAAATTGACTGTTAAAGAGTTATCGAAAAAAGACTTTAAGCCCCTTTTGGCCCTTAATGTGATGACTCAGCACTTTTTTCTTGATATCATTTTAAAGATCGTGTCATTTTCCACAAATTTTGTTCAATATGTTTTAACAAAATAATCATACTTTAAAAGATATGATGCAAAATGTCTTTAAAAATCAGTCATGATTCGTGTCCTAAATTTTGACCCCTACCGAGCTTCCATACTAGATACTTCCGGAAAATATCCAGACCCAGGTGCACCATGGCAACATGTCCTCTATTATCACTGAAAATTTCAGCGCTCTAGCTTAAGCCATTATTGAGTTCTATCAAAGACACGGAGGTCGTTTGAATTTTAAGAAAAGGGCGATAACTCTAGACCGGAAGTGATTTTCAAAAAATCCTTCAGCCGGAATTAACTTCAGATAATTCTACACCAACCCTGAAAATTTGAAACAAATCGATCCAAAGATCTCTGAGGAATCGTCGGCACAAAATTTGTGCAGAAAAAAAAAATAATAATAATAACTAGATACAATCTCGTTGCGAGCAACGAGTGGGTCTTCCGTCCAATTCTTGAGGAGATGAGATGAGATTTTGATTGAGATTTTCATTCTAAATTAATGATAAAGATTGTGAAGAAGAACTATTTTGCCTCCATAATCTGTAAAAAGGCATTGAACATTAAGGACTTTAAAATTCGACTTTTGGCCCCTCGCAGCCACTAATATAAGGGATCAGCCTTTCTTCTGCATATCATCTTAATGCTCTCAGGATTTTCATCAATTTTTGTTCAACAACTTTTCAGAGATTCATTTTCGTTATCGAGTTATTCGCAAAAGAAATATTTAGGGGCCAACCCTTGTTCAATATTACTTATCAAAATATTTCTCTCTTTCGAGATATAAAGCGCCAAAGACTTAGCATTCTGGCCCCTTGTGGCCCCTAATTATGAACCATACGACATAAAAATCATAATATATAGTTGTAAATGGTTGAGATACACATCTTTACTTCAGTAATGTATTACAAAATATTAACTGATAAAGAGTTATCGATTAAAGACTTTTGGCCCCTTTTGGCCCCTAATTTGAGTTCACAGCCCCTTTTTCTTGATTTTGTCTTATAGATCTTATGATTTTGAACACTTTTTGTTCAACAACTATTCAGAGATTCTTTTTCGTTTTCGAGTTATTTGCAAAAGAAATATTTAGGGGCCAACCCTTCAACTCCTTAATGGGGACGTTTAGAGAAAAATGAAAGGTTGCATATTGTTCAGAACATGATTTTGAACATCTTTTGTTCAATATTACTTATCAAAATATTTCTCTCTTTCGAGATATAAAGCGTCAAAGACTTAGCATTCTGGCCCCTTGTGGCCCCTAATTATGTACCATACGACATAAAAATCATACATATAGTTGTAGATCGTCGAGATAAACAACTTTGCTTCAGTAATGTATTACAAAATATTTACTAATAATGAGTTAACGATTGAAGATTTTTGGCCCCTCTTGGCCCCTGATTTGATTGCCTAGCCCCTTTTTCTTGATTTCACCTTAAAGCTCTTAGGATTTAGAACACTTTTTGTTCAACAACTATTCAGAGATTCTGTTTCGTTTTATAGTTATTTGCAAAAGAAATATTTAGGGGCCAACCCTTCAACTCCTTAATGGGGACGATAAGCGAAAAATGAAAGTTTGCATATTGTTCAGAATATCATTTTAAACATCTTTTGTTCAATATTGCTTATCAAAATATTTCTCACCTTCGAGATATAAAGAGTAAAATATTTAGCATTCTGGCCCTTTGTGGCCCCTAATAGCAGACTTCCGAGTTACTGCCGGAACAACGTTTTTCTCCGAATTTTAGACACGCCTTTAAAAAATTTAAGCCCTGTAAACTTCCGGTTTCTCGAAAGGTCATACTAAGCGGTAGAATACAAACCATTATGACGGATTTCTATTCTCTGAAGGTTCCAGAACTCAAACAATTTCTCCAAGAGCGAGGTGTTTCTTGTACGTTACTTCGGAAGATAGATCTGGTGAGACTATGTGAACTCGCAACGGAGCTGAATCTTGAAATAATACCAACCGATGATGGGGGAGATTACAATGTCATGGACAAGAAAAGGAGAACCGTGCAGGTAAATGGTGACGATATCGTTATACCGTCCCCAACTGACGTGTGCTCGTGGCAGACACAGCTCAACAACATGCCAGACATACAGACGTATGATATTCTCATTTTTTTATTGACTTATTGCAAGTGGGAAAACAATCGCTTACAGACATACAAAAGTGACAACGGTTTTAGATTATTTTCAAGCAACCACATTGACGATGTTCAGATTTCGCCGGTTCTTGAACATGACTATATGTACATTAAGGCAACATGTGCACCAGAGACCAGACAAAATTCTATTCCATATACAACATGGTTGTTGGTGCATCAGTCAGGCCAAGTGATGTCTGCAGGTTGCACATGTGTTGCGTAAGTATATGGTATATAATTCTTTATCAAACTTCTCGAATGTGTCAGAATGTTATCACTTGGCCAATTTTCAGAAGTATTAGGTTCATTCGATCAGAATAAATGTTTATAAATGAATATATTCATGTGTCTGATTCCATTTCCATTGTTGACATGTTTATATATGCATTATACTTTTATTTTGATTACTCATATGCCTTATTTTTATACTTCATCTCTCATTTTTCCATTAGCATTTTTTTCAGTTCCTTTAGTTTCTTTGTGACTGTTGACCAGCGTGCATAATATGTCTTGATAATGTGAAACAAGCATTTTTTGTTCTCTGGTTGTTGGTCACTTTTTATTCATCATCATGGCTGAATACTGAAGATATATCCACACATGACATATATATATCCATAAGTGACATGAAAATTTTCACATATTTTATAGAGACAATGGAACCTGTAAACATTGTGTTGCCCTTCTGTTTGCTGTAAATGACTTTTGTTCTCGACACAAGGATAGAGGTACTGAGGTGGGAACAGATGTTGAGTGTGTCTGGGATAACCCCAGAAATGAGTCAATTCCTATGGAGGTAGAAATTGATATCAGAACTGATACAAGTGTACCTAAAAAGATCACCCCCATTCATACAGTCTATAAATCAACTGTGAACAATATTACATGTACTACTAATGACGTTAAGATCAAGCTTAAAAATATTTGCAAAGGTTCAAAAGCATTGCTTTTACAAACACTATATGAAGAGGGTGATGATTTAGAGGATGAAAGTGATAGTTCTAAAATTCCAACAGTTCTTGATGTGGTAAACTCTAATGTTGGAGAAAATATTTTTGTATGCTTACAAAATGCTTTTGATAAAGACACTATAAACAAAATTGAAGAGATCACCAGAGATCAGAGTGAAAACCCAGAATGGTTTAATCATCGCAAAGGCAGAATTACAGCATCCAATTTTTCTTCTATTTTAAGCTTTAAATTTACTGAGAATGATGAAAATTATATATCCAAAAGAGTTATGGGAAAGTCAAGTTACATAAATACTCCATCTGTAAATTTTGGGAGAGAAAATGAAAATGTGGCACGACAGTTGTACTTTTTGGACTATAAGAAATGTCATGAAAAGGCCAAACTTGAGCTTAGTGGTTTACAGGTAGATGAATTACACCCATATTTAGGAGCCTCTCCTGATGGTTTGATAAGCTGTAAATGTTGCGGTGAGGGACTGATCGAGATTAAATGTTCATACATGTATCAAAATAAAACACCACAAGAAGCATGTCTTGATCACCATTATCATGTATACTTAGATGAAAACAACTTAGTTAAACTAAAAGATAGTTCATCATGGTATATTCATATCCAAGGTCAAATGGGTGTTTGTAAAAAACAATGGTGTGACTTCATTTTGTATACAAAAAAAGGTATTGCTGTTGACAGAATATATTTTGACTCTGAACTGTATGAAAAAATTGTCAAGACATCAAAAAGATTCTATGAAAAGTACATTGTAAAGGCACTAACTAACAAAAAATAAATGATGACAAAAAACCAGTTTGATTATTTTATTTTTTCACAAGTGGTGTCTGTAAATTACAAAGAAAAGCACACACTTTCAGGATCTGATTTGACAATGGCTTCAATGACAAAGGCATGGTATTACTTAAGATATTAAAATTTTTCAATCTTTCTATCGCACGTTCAACATGAATTCTAAGACGAGCTATACATCTAGTCTTAATAATATCATTCTGCAGCAATCGTTTTCCTTTACCCCAGTTACATTTCTTGGTGAAAGGTGGAATTACAAGCTTTGCATGTCTTTCTAACAATAAATCTCTAATTAAAAATCCTCTGTCAGCCATAATTTCATGACCTGGTCTTACAAAATCAAGAAAACCACAGTTCTTAGTAATATATCTGTCAGATGTATTACCTCCCCATAAATCTGATATAAAAATGATGGCACCAGATGGCATAATACCTATTAAAGCTTTGTATGTATTATGATGCTTATAAGTACTATAAGTTCTGGACTGTGCAGAAGGAGATCTGGGCTTTTGTATAAAAAATTCAGTACAATCAATAATACAAACTGTATTGGGAAATGTAAGTTTAAAGGACTTAGGTAAAAACTTCTTGATAACAGGTGTAGATGGCCAAACTAATAAAGGTGTTAAAATGTGATACATAAAATTTACCCATGTTGTGAAAATCTGAGACACACGTGTATTTGAAACTCCAAAAATATCAGCCAAAAAAAATGTAAAAATAGCAAGCCGTAAACGAATAAGAGTCATAATAAATTCTTCATATTTCGACAGTTTTCTTGTTGGTCCAGTTTTCCTCCTATCCGCATTCTGCTGGTATGGAGTTTCCTCAGCACTGCTTTGTCCACTCCAATATTTAATGTTGGGCGATGCTTCATCTAACACTTCTACAATACATTAAAAAAATACATTTGATCATCCATAATAATTAATTGTATGAGCATATTAATTATTATGAACATGCATTCAATTTTTTTTTATCAGGAGCAAAGCAATTAAGGTAATTATTCTTATTGCATGTACCGTACAAGTACCTTTGTCCTGTCCATTATTTTCAAAATTCTTATTATTCACAGTGGTTGGTATAAAAATATCTTTTTACCCTGTGATTTTTGGACAAATTTTATTTCATTCAGTATCATTAAAATACATGAATTTTCATGCAAATACATAACTGGCTAAACAATTTACCATACATTCCATGTAGCATTGACTTTGATGGAATACCAGTGTACTGCTTTACACTCCTATCAGTTGCTGTGACCTTTTCAATGAAGAGGTTTCTCATGAGAGCATCAGGATTTTCAAACTTCTTCTTTAGAGCCATGAGTTCCTCCATTTCCTCCATCCCTATATCTGTCTGTATTCCACTGTCAACTGTATCTGGTCCATGGCTTTCACCTACAGCTGCAGATGCATACTCATGGTCAGGCTGGCATGGTTGCACAACTGAAAGAATGAGATGATAAAAGTTTTATCTTAAAAATGTGTCACTGTGTATTATATAATTTAACTATTATTAAAATATAAACATTTGAAGAGAAATGTTTTAACTATTCATCAAGTAAAAATCTGCCTTAATGTCTTCATAATGACACTTCACCAGTAAATATTTCCTGATACTATTATAATACATTATTATATTATTTTTAAAATTTAAAACCTGTGTTCAGTGTTTCACACGCAGAAGCCACTGTCTCTTCAGACACAACAGGGGGGGTTTGAAAATCCACACATTCCATTTCCATATAAAACTGACTATGGCTCTATATAGGAAATTTAATATTACATTTAGTTTCATGTACTAAGCTATACATTGAAAAATATATTAGTACTGTGTACTATCATCATTAAATAAACATGTAAGAAACATTCATGAAAAAAGAAATAGTACTTTAAACATTTCTGTGACTGAAATTTACAGTCAAATTTCATACATGGGTAAAATCTGAAAATTCAAATATGTACATGTATTCACTGAAAAAGCAACTGAAAAATATAATTGGCACTATGAATTATAGTGTCAGTTTGAAAAGCAGAAACAAACATTTTTTCCACAGGCCTTATAGATAAATATTTACCGTATATACTCGCCTATAAGTCGGTCCGCCTATTAGTCGGTTGTATTTTTTTAGGTAATTTTTAAGGAATTTGCCATTGACCCGCTTATAAGTCGGTGTAACTTTTTGCCATAATCGGCTGACAATTTAAAATCAATGTATTGATTTTTTTATCTGGTTTTAATTTTTATTTCTCGAAATGATGCCAATATCTAATCTTAAATCATTAAAAAAAATAAGCAATGCACGCTTGAGATAAAAATAAAACCATTAAAGTAAGAAAATATTTGTAATTTATGTATCATCTTTGATTACTTATATGTTTAAATGTAATCCAGACTTTGTTCTTCGATGGTCGTCAGAAATATATATAAAATGCTACATTTCACAGTCCAGAAAAAATGTCTCCTTATGACTCGCCTATAAGTCGGACATATTAAAGTTTAGGACCAAAATTTAACTCCCAAAATACCGACTTTTAGGCGAGTATATACGGTATATACACAGTGTTAAACTTACATCATTGTAGGACTGAAAATCAGCTGCCTTTTCATTCGACTCCATCAAGTGTGAATCTTCAAGGAACTGGATGAAACAAAAATATATGTTATTTTCATAGCAACATTATTGAAAGTCTATATATCTACGAAGGACATTCTGCTAGTCAGTTTGCTGAGTTAAAAATACTCTTTACATGTATCAAAAAGAGCAGTGTTTATTAGGCTTAGGATAGCTAAATTGAAACAGTATATTGTAGACTAGGGAATTTTTAAATACATGTACTATCCTATCAGAGATGACAATGTAGTTAAACAAGCCCTGTCAAGAGATTTTACTTAAGTGTCGCCTACTTTAAATGTAAGGTGACAACGAAACACCTTGGTTTACATAAAGAATAAACACAAGTTTATTCTCTTTAGTTTAGAGAAGTGGACAAGCTTTCGCCTACATCCATGGATGTAGGCAAAAGCCTGTCCACTTCTCTAAAGAGAATAAAGTATATACAACACATAGAACAGAATAACATGGTGAATATATACATAGGTTGACTGGTAGGACTCGACTAGCTGATGTTGAAAGCATGCAGGCACACATGGTGCAAGGTCATAGTGAATAAATTAAAAAATGCATTTAACTACAATACTCTTATTACAGGGCTTGAAACAAACTAGCCTATCAAGTATAATTTCAAAAATAAATATCAGGAGGGGGCATTTTTATGTGTATTATATTAATTATTCATATACACCTCGTTACGCTTCTCTGCCGCTGAACGTTTGGTGATGGATGTTGAGCTTCTGTTCTGTAGAGGCTCCTTGTAATTATTGTAAGCAAATAACGTGGGATATGGGTTTTCAGGTGTTGGACTGCCATCAACAAAATGTCGGGAACATATCTAAACATTGAAAAAAAAGAAACTCTTTGTACTGAGATACGAATATTTTGCAAAAAGTGCAAAATAATTTAGTCTTAAAGAATTATTCCACTTTACCCTGTGGTGCATAGGTGGGTCGTAATCTTACCGCCGCAGCAAACTCAGCCACGCTCGCCTACATTTTGGGTCCTTTTTCTGTGTTGGGAAAGGGAAAAACTTGACTTCTGTCATATACCCATATCTTCCCCTTTTCTTTGTGTCAGCGTGACAGCCCTCGGCAGCACAGTAATACCTAGTTTTGCTAGGCCTACTCGCCATATTATCGTCTGCACCGGAAGTATCGAGGGCTAAAAAAAGTTTCGAATCACGTGACCGCAGTGTGTAAAATCAAGAATAAAACGTTGTTCCGACAGTAACTCGGAAGTCTGCTATTATGAACCATACGACATAGAAATTATAATATGTAGTTGTAGATTGTTGGGGTAAACATTTTTGCTTCAGTAATGTATTACAAAATATTGACTGTTAAAGAGTTATCGAAAAAAGACTTTTGGCCCCTTTTTGCCCCTATTGTGATGAGTCAGCACTTTTTTCTTGATATCATATTAAAGATCTTGTCATTCTGCACGAATATTGCTCAGTATGTTTTAACAAAATATTTATACTTTAAAAGATATATAAGATATCTCGAAAATTCACTCATAATTCGTGTCCTAGATTTCGACCCCTACCGAGCTTCCATACTGGGCACTTCCGGAAAATATCCTGACCCAGGTGCACAATGGCAACATGTCCTCTATCTATGGTAAAAATTTCAGCGCTCTAGCTTAAACCGTTCTTGAGTTCTGCTCCAGACAAGAAAGCCCTCTAAATTTCGATTAAAGGGCGATAACTTCCGACCGGAAGTGAATTTCAAAAAAATGAGAAAAACGAATCAGGTTTAGGTAAAGACACATCTTTCCTGAAAATTTCAAGTAAATCGATCGAGTCATCTCCGAGAAATCTTCTGCACAAAAATTGTAAGAAAAAAAGGGAAGAATAATAAAAGTGAAAAAGAAACAATAGAATAATAGAAGGGTCTTCCGCTGAAGACGGAAGACCCTAATAACTAGAGCAAAGCTCGTTGCAAAGCAACGAGTAGGTCTTCCGTCCTGTTTGACCGGAAGTAGCTTTCATTTTCAACAAGAATGAGAAATTACGCCTAAAAATGGTCTGAATCCTCTAAAGCTATGTTAAATTATGCAAAAATAAGCAATGTTTGCTACTTCAGGTTTAACCGGAAGTGACGACGACGGACGGAAAATAAATATTTATGCTCCCAGAGACATATGTTACCCAAAAAACTTGACAAGAACGGCAAAAATATGCGTTTTTGACTACTTCCGGTTTGGCCGGAAGTGACGACGCCGGACGTATTTGGACGAATCAAGTAGATTAAGCTTGTCATTTTGAACAACTTTGCTTCTTTGAAGTGTTACAAATTCTCAATACTTTTCGAGATATCAAGTAAAAACTTTTGGCCCCTCTAGATCCTTAATTTTAGGGAACAGCCCTTTTTCCGAGATATCATTTGAAAGATCTCACAATTCTTCACAATTTCTGTTCTGTATGTTTTAACAAAATATTTACAAGTAAAACGATATAATAGAAAAAGTATAAGAAATTTTGAAACGCTTAATATAACTTTTTTCAGACCATACCGAGCGTCAACGTGCAGTACTTCCTGTGAAAGTTAACAACACAATGCAAATCCACATTTGTTGCTCTATCTTCCAGAAAAGGTTTCCTGTGATGAGCGGTTTTTAAGAAGAACAAATGACCCTTAAAAATCACAAAATTCCGAAAATCTTCGAACCGGAAGTGACGTCATCAAAATGAAAAAAACGTATCAAGTTTTTTTGGCTGAAGACGGAAGACCTTAAAAACAGTGGAAAAGAAACAAACGAATAACAAGAAGGTCTTCCGCTGAAGACGGAAGACGTTTATAAAAGTGAAAAAGAAACCGAAGAATAACAAGAAGGTCTTCCGCTGAGGACGGAAGACCTTAATAACTAGAGCAAAGCTGGTTGCAAAGCAACGAGTAAGTCTTCCGTCCGGTTTTGACCGGAAGTGCCGGAAGCGACAGAAAAAAAAAACAAAAAAAAACAAGTATTCTCTGGTGACTTTATAATTTCAATTTTGCATCAAAACCTTCAAAAAAGCCATTTTTTGCTGCTTCCGGTTTGACTGGAAGTGACAACGACGGACGGAAAAATTACTTTTTATGCTCCCAAAGACATATGTAACCCAAAAACTTGTCAAGAACGGCAAAAAAAAAAAAAAACGCGTTTTCCAACAACTTCCGGTTTGGCCGGAAGTGACGACGCTGGACGTATTTTGACGACTTCAATAGATTAAGCTTGACATTTTGAACAACTTTGCTTCTTTGACGTATTACAAATTCTAAATACTTTTTGAGATATAAGGGAAAAACATTCGGCCCCTCTAGGCCCCTTATTTAAGGATCTAGCCCTTTTTTCGAGGTATCCTTTGAAAGATCTTGGAATTCTATACCTTTTTTATTCTACATGTTTTAACTAAATATTTCCAGGTAAAAAGATATTGTAGAAAAGTTGTTAAAAATTTTGAAATTCGTGATAGGCCTATTTTCGGGTCATAGCGAGCGCCGACGTGCGGCACTTCCCTTAAAAATGAAATACCTTATACATGTCTATAGACTTTGGTCTATCATACCTGAAAGTTTCATATTTCTATCTTGAGCCATTATTGAGAAAACTGCCGGACAAAATGACCCTCTAAAACTCACTAAATCGCATAAACTCCGAACTGGAAGTGACGTCATCAAATTAAAAAAAACGCCTTAAGTTCATATAATTTGTCATGAATGCTGAAAGTTTCATTAAAATCCATCGGCGCATTTACGAGAAATCGCCTGCACAAAATCGGTAAGAATAATGATAAGAAAAGTAGAAAAGAAACAACAGAATAATAAGAAGGTCTTCCGTTGAAACTGAAGACCTTAACTAAATACGATCTCGTTGCGAGCAACGAGTGGGTCTTCCGTCCAATTCTCGATGAGATAAGATAAGATTTTGATTTGGATTTTAAGTCAGAAATAATGATAATATTTTTGAGGTAAACGATTTTGCTTTTGTAATGTGTAAAAGATGTTGAACATTAAATGCTTATAAATTCGACTTTTGGCCACTCTTGGACCCTTACATGTGGGGTCAGCCCCTTTTGTATTCGAATCAACTTAAAGCTCTTATGATTTGAAACACTTTTTTGTTCCACAAGAATTCAGAGATTTTCCTTTCAAAGATATTTGCCAAAGAAATATTTAGCGGCCCTTCAACTCCTTAATGGGGACGTTTAGAGAAAAATGAAAGGTTGCATATCGTTTAGAACATCATTTTGAACATCTTTTGTTCTATGTTACTGATCAAAATATTTCCCATTTTCGAGATACAAAGCGTCAAAGATTTTGCATTCTAGGCCCCTGTGGCCCCCTTTTATGTAATATATAATAAAAAGTTAATAATATACACTAGACAAAATTGCTAACGCACCACCGACAATTCTTCCTTGTGAATTGAACATTTGCCTAAACGGTATTAGTATATATAAAAGGCCGTATTTTTCAATGCAATGGGCTTTTCAAATGTCTTGATGTCAGAAGAAAACCTTAAGATGACCTTCTTGTCCAAAACCAATTTCCCGACGTGCATTGCGTACCTCCTTTTGCCCAAATATCTGCATTGCTAATTACAGATGATGGTTCTTGAGGTTAGACCAGAAACAGTCTCCCAGTTAAGAAATATCAAATAATATGCAACGATTGACTATTATATCGCCTGCTAGTCATCCAATGCATTCGTGTCCAGACCCAGTCCACTCAACTTCCGGTTGCCTCAATTTTGTGGAACGACATTCAAGTTGTAGTGTGGTGTTTACTTAACGGCTTGGCTATCTAGAGTGAACATTTTTAGGTTAACTAATCTATTTGCATGAATTTTTCACTAGAAGAATAAATATTGTTTTGCTTGTTTTAATTTTTTACATATCTTTCCAAGGGTACCCCCTGCAGACACCAAACTGTCTGTTTTATCACGCTCACCTGGGATCAAATGCCGCATATTGTATAATTTTTTTTTGATTTTCTAATAAGTACAAAAATAAAAAACAAAAATGCAAAGAAAAAAATCAGAAATTTACCCCTCCAAATAAGTATGAACACGATTTTCACGTTTTCTATGAAATGGTCACACTTCAGTAAACATTGTAGTAATTTATCAAATAAGATATTTAAATGCTTTATTTTTAAATTTTGTAACAGAATACTATATCAAATACATCTTAAACAAGTTTTGAAAAGTAAAATATTATTTTCATCAGGTGGTGCGTTAGCAATTTTGTCAAGTGTATACATGTAGTTGTAGATTGTTAAAATCAACAATTTTACTTCAGTAATGTATAACAAACTTTTGACTGTAAACGAGTTATTAAATGAAAAAAATGGACCTATTTGCGCTTCATGTGATGAGTCAGCACTTTTTTCTTGATATCAAATTACAGATATTGTAATTCTGCACAGATATTGTTCAGTATGTTTTAACAAAATATTAATACTTTAAAATCTATTATGCAAATTGTCTCCAAAATCAGTCATGATTCGTATCCTAAATTTTGACCCCCTAGCGAGCTTCCATACTAGACACTTCCAGATAATATCCTTACCCAGGTGCAACATGTCCTCTGTCATCCCTGAAAAATTTCTAGCTTGAGCCTTCTTGAGTTCAATCACACACAAACATTAAAAAGAGTGAAATTTAAATGATTTATTTAATTTAGTTATTTAAATGCCGAAAAATTAGGACTTCCGTTGTATTTTGAAAACTGGAGAACATTACATTGTGTGTTTTGAAATCTCTCTAAGGTCAAATGGAGTGAGATTTAAACAATTTAATTTTTCAGAAAATTCAACTTGCTTCCAAATCTTTATTCACGTACTTTATGTGTAATTAGACAGATGGAGAACATCACACAATGTGTCTTGAAATCTCTCAAAGGTCAAATTGAGGGAAATTTAAACAATTTAAACATTGTAAAAAAATTAAGTTTTTTCCAAATGTAAAATCGAGTACTTTATCTGTATTTGGACAGATGGAGAACATAAAACAACATGTTTCAAAATCTCTCAAAGGTCAAATATATTAACATTTAAACAATTTAATTTTTTTAAAATCTAAATTGCTTCCAAAAATAAATCAAGTATTATTTTTGTATTGTGATCGCGAACATCCTATAATGTGTTTTGAAATCTCCCAAAAATCAATATTTATATTGTGACAGATGGAGAATATCTTACAATGTGTTTAGAAATTTCTCAAAGGTCAAATATTGTAAGATTTA